ATTAATCGTTTTGAAATGAATTTCAAAAATTAAAAAAAAAAAAAAAAGAGATTGAAAAATATCGCATTTTGGTGTTTTGACCCTCATTTGGGTTTTATTTTTAGACTTTTATGTAAAACCATTTTTCTGCAAGAGAGGTGTTCCGTTTTTTAAATGCATTGCTTTAGATATTAGGTTAGATAATAAAATAAACAGAACTTGTGAATTGAAAATTGTTTTATTCATAGCTCTAATTTTCTCTGTTCATTGCTCCCTAATCCCAAAACTTGATTTTTTATACCCTTGCAGAGCAAAGGGTATTATAATTTTGGCCAGAAGTTTGCAACGCAGTGAAGGAGACACCTCAGACCCCATAAAGTATATATATTCTTGATCAGCATCACGATCTGAGTCGAAATCCGTCTGTACGTCTGTCCGTCTGTCCTTCTGTCCGTCTGTCCGTCTGTCCGTTTCTGCCTAAACTAGTCTCTCAGTTTTAAAGCTATCTTGCTGAAACTTTCCCAAAAGGTGTGTAGGTATTGCACGCAGTATATAAGTCGGAACGGGCCGGATCGGCCGACTATATCGGATAGCTCCCATACGAGAGAATGAAATAAAAAATGCTCACGCCGTTGTTTTTGGCCAGATCGACTTGAATTCTTCAAGATGGCGCTTTCTAACTGTTATTGCATTTCGTGTTAAATTTGAACAAAATCGGATAACTCTATCATATAGTTGCCATAGGAGAGATCGAAAAATATATATAGAATTAATGGAAATAAATTGACAGCATCGTTGTTTTTTATCCCACGAGCATGATTTTTTAAGTATTAAGTTTTTTTAACTAGCCTTGATTTATAAAAAAAATTTCATAAAAATCGGACAACTATATCATATAGCTGCCATAGGAAAGATCGAAAAATCTATATAGAATCAACGGAAATAAAATGATAACATCGTTATTTCTCATCAGAAAATCATGATTTTTAGAATATAGAGTTTTCTAACGACTCTTGAATAACAAATAAAATTTCATTGAAATCGGACGACTATATCATATAGCTCCCATATGATCTATAGTCGGAAATATGGAAAATGAATAGAAAAATCGTTATAGCTTCGATGTTGTTTAGCCTTTATGCATTTTGTTCGACATATTTGATGACTGCAAGGGTATATAAGCTTCGGCTTGCCGTAGTTAGCTTCCTTTCTTGTTTTTAAAGGAAAAAGATGAGCAGAATATTAAAATTCGTATAGCGAACCTTTTTAAGTATATAGTCTCATTGGTCGCTTTGGCAAATAAAAAAGTGTTTCAATCTACAATCAATAGCATACATCTCCAATTTGAATGCCACTACACAACCATCATCTGTGGTATGCGAATAATTTTCTCGCCATTTAGTGAACGGTGGACGCTCGCCAGTGCGAGTGGAAAAAAACTTTCCTTTTTCGGCCAGTGAATTGAAGTCGAACCAATATGAGTCTTCAGTGGTTCGTTTTGTGATAGCTTGTAGTTCCTCCTCGTCGTTGATTGTAGCCAGGTACCCACCGAATCGACGACATTTGTTAAATGCAACAAACCAAGTTACAGTATCATGCTTTTCAATGTAGAAATATCTCGAGCCAATATTTTCAAACAGATTTGATGGCGGTACTCTTTGTAAAGAAGAATTGAAAGACTTCTGGTCAACAATGGCGTTTTTTAGGTCTTCTATATCCTTTATCATTTTTTCTATTTTCGGTTTAATTTCTGCCTTTAGAGACTCCATAACGTTCCGAAGCGAGTGTTGTTGGATTTCTGTTTTTACCTGTTGCGCCTGTAGTTGGCCTTCTATGCTTTCTTTTAGTCTGTCTATTTTTGCATTAGCTTCAGCCTGATTTGCCGCTGTGTATCTGAACCACTGTTGCTGGTGGTTGGCTATCTGATCAAGCAAGCTTGGCTCCTGGTTTTGAGCTTGAGTTCCCCACAGTCCGCAAACAGTGAAGAGCCATAAAAAATAGGAGTACCTCCACATATTGAGTGTGTAAGATCTGTAATCCAATCTTCGAAACTAACTGTTTCTCGGGTTGTTAAAGCCCTTTAATATGTGATAAACCGCAACGGATTCAGTTTGCAAAGAAATAATGAAAATATGCATGACTGAAACTTTATCAACATATTTAAATGCCACCAAATGAAAGACGATTTTTTCAGGAAACTGATTTTTTTTCTCTGGTGTTCGATCTATATAGGAAAATAATGTATAAGATTCTATGACTTACGCAGAGGCCGCGATTGCTTTTATTATTATCTTTTACCCTCGGACAGCAACCTTTTGTGTGAACAAATCTTGAAGTGATTACAATATCTTTAGACTCAAATGGTCGGAACTTAAAACTCCTTTTTTTGCTCCACATAGTGTCATCTATAGTGTTATCTATAGTATTATCTATAGTGTTATCTGTAGTTTTTATTTTTTAAAAGCTTTTATTATACAGATGGGTTGATGTGGCGTATGAGGGACGTTGCGTTTATTCAATTAAAATTGTAATTTCGTGTAATACAAATTTACAATTTATTCTGGGCATTTATTTGTTTTGGTTTGTATTCATAAGTGAAATTGAATTTTCAGCAGACAATTGGACAACATTCCTATAGCTACCAGCTTTCATTTTTTTATTAGCGATTTAAAGGAATTTAAATAAAACTACAAATGTGCGTCTTTACAAAGTATGATAATTTTTTCTTGTGAGTATATTTTTAAGTTAAAGTTTTTACCATTCCACGTTATTCTATAAATCTTAAAAACCCTATTTAACCAACTCAACCACTCAGAGGTTTCGATTGTTTGGCAATGCCAACAAAGCGACAAATCTCTTCCATCACAACACAAAATTGGCAGAAACTTATTATTCACTTTAACACACATTTGCGCTTGAGACTCTGAGGGAAACGCGCGAAGGACTCGATGGGATGGTAACCATCCTCGAACATGCTGGGCCTCACCGAGCAAGTGATTGATTTCGGGGAAGGTCCTTCGAGAAGCAGGAGGATGCCGAGAAGTGCCACTAACAGGCGGTGCAGCCGTGAAGTGGCGGGTAGAGGAGGGCCAAAGCCCAAAGACAAAGCGCGAACTGAAAGCACTCAGCGATGAGGACCTGCTCCTGTCAATCCTCCTCGGCAGCCACTTAATGAATGGAAGCTCCCGCTCTCTAAACGCCGCCGAGATTGATGACGCACTTGATGCTGGCCCAGCTGCTCACTCGGAATCTCATTTCGACTGCAAGCCGTATTTTCTGCCGAGTGTCCTTTTTATATAGTCAGTCACTCCGTCACTCAGTCAGTCCTTCAGTCAGTCATTCAGTCAGTCAGTCAGTCAGTCAGTCAGTCGGTCGGTTGATCGTTGGAGTGGTCGTGTCGCTACTTCTTCTCTGTCTTCTCGACTTTCCGTTTCTTTGCCCGCCATTCTGACTTTTGTGCGCTCGTCGCACTTAACCAACATTTTGTCATTTTGACAGCGAACACACGGCCAGGGGCTCCTCCTCCCGAGTCCTGGCCCAAATGCGGCTAAAGTGCGGCCAAGTAAAAAATTTGCATACTCAGCAAAAGCGACCGAGAAAATAAAATGCCAACCTATAGTACATACTGGCGTGTATATAATATATATAGCGATTCTCAATGCAAGTCTGTCGCCATATCTGGCCACGTCATTGGGCCATAAAACTGCCGCAGTGATGGGCCACAACGTTTGCGTTAACTTTCACTTTTCTCCTTCTATTGTACTTTCTTTTCGTTCGTACATTTGCAAATTTACCCAAATTCATTCCGCTCCCTGCTTTCGGGGCTTACTTGGCGTATGCGTTATTTCTGTCGGGCTCTTCAACTGCCACCACTCCCGTTTTGATTTGACAAAGTGATACGATGAGTTGCGTCTTTCGTCAAAAGATGTATTTTAGTCTCCTAAATTTAAAAAATGTTGAAATGGTTTTCTTGTTGAGTCTTTTAAATGATAAATGGAACCAACACATTTTCTCGACACATTTGTCTTTAGAAATTGTTTGCCACAAAAAAATCATACATTGTACATTAAAAATTAAAATATTTTTCTTTTTTAAATCTATGTAACAAGTCGCGATTAAAAAAAATCTTTAAGAAAATATTTTTATTTTGTTTTGGATTGTAATTTTTTTTTTTTTTTTTTTTTTTAAGTTAAACCTTGTTTGCTGCAGAAGAGTTTTCCCGTTTTTTAAATGCATTGTTTTAGATATAAGTCTAGCTAAAAAATCAAAAAAAATTTATAAATTGAAAATTGATTTATTTACAGCTCAAATGTTTTCTGTTCATTGCTCCCTAAACCCAAAAGTTTGTTTGTTTTCTAGTAAGAAAAAAAAGAATTAACGAGCAGAATATTGGTCATTGGTCACTTTGACAAATAAAGAAGTATTCATCATAACAACTATTAGTAAACATCTTCAAGCCGCCCAAATTTGCACAACAAGAAACTCCGTTAACCGGTTGTCCTTCGTGCCATTTAAGTAATGGTGGACGCTTCCCGGTGCGAGTGGAAAGAAAGTTTCCTTTTTCGGCCATTGAGTTGATGTCCAACCAAAATACATCTGAAACGAGTCTCCGGTTGATTGACTGCAGTTCCAGTTCATCGTTGATTGTAGCCAGGTGTCCACCCATTTGACGACATCTGTTATATGCATCAAACCAATTTACTCGAACACGCCTTTCAATGTAGAAGTATCTCGAGCCAATCCTTGAAAACTGATTTGATGGCGGTTGTGAACCCTTTTGTCCAGAAGAACTTAAGTCCCGTATCTGCTGAAGTAGGTCTTCTGTTTTCTTCTGTAGCTCTTTTAGTTGGCCTCCCATCTTATCCTTCATTGTGTCTATTTTCGGTTGGATTTCTGCCTTTTGAGACTTCATAACTTCCCGAAGCGACTCTTGTTGGCTTTTTGTTTTCGCCTGTAGCGCCTGTATTTGACCTTTCATTTCTTCCTTCATTCTGTCTATTTTTGCATTAGCTTCAGCCTGATTTGCCGATGTGTTTCTGAACCACTGTTGCTGGTGCGTGGCAGTCTGATCAAGTAAGCATGACTCCTGGATTTGAGCTTGAGTTCCCCACAGTCCGCAAACGGCGAAGAGCCATACAAAATAGGAGTACCTCCACATATTGAGTGTGTAAATCCTGTAAGACTTAATCTTCGTAACTAACTGGATTCCGGTTTGTTACAGCTCTTAAATATGTGATAAGCCATAACGGATTCAGTTTGCAAAGGAGTAATGAAAATATGCGTGACCGAAACCTTATTAACATGTGTAAATGGTCGAGTTTTTCAGGAATCTGAATTTATTTTGTGCTGAAGAGTTTTCTTTGGGAGTGCGGAGTGCACAGCAACCTTTGTGGACAAATCTTTAAGTGATTACAATATTTTAGAATCAAATGATGCCCTCAAAACTCACTTGTTTGTTTTATAGAGAATATTTTATTTCTCATGCCTGATGCATGGAGCTCCTTAAATAATGCATTAGTGTTCCTCTGAACGGCATAACCTCATTTTGCCTGTTTTATTATTTCGAGGAAGAATTGAATTATGATACCTGTTACTCTTGACATAGGCTACATAATTTATACCCGTGCAAAGCCGGAGAGATAATATAAATAATGAAATTACTCAGTATCAAATTGGGCCCTATACGGGTAAAAGTAATAATGGTGCTATCTGGAGAATTATGTCGTTTCCAATGCACGAAAGACTTTCAAATAGCTAGCAATTTAAAACTTAATGAATTAAATTTAAGCTTAATGAACTTAATAACCTTCTTTTTTTTACTATGCAAACGCGTGTACCGGCTGCTAGTATATATATAAATAGTGGAAAAAAATGATAGCGTCGTTGTTTTTTACCCACCAGTATGAATTTCAGAACATCAAGTTTTTTAACTACCCTTGAATGGAAATAAAATTATAAAAGCGTTGTCTTTCATCACAAGATCATGATTTTTGTACTATAGAGTAACAAATCTCGAATTTTAAATTAAATTTCATAAAAATCAGACGACTATAGCCATCATATAGCTGTCATATTTCATATGAACAATCGTCGAATATATATATGCTCGACATATTTGATGAATGCAAGGGTATAGAGTAAAAGCTCTGGTTCGCCGGTGCTAGCTTCCTTTCTTGTTGTTTTTAGATTTTTGAGTTAAACCGTTTTTGTTTTTCCGCTTTTTAAATGCATTGTTTAAGATATTAGTCAAGCTAAAAAATCAAAAAGAATCTATAAATTTAAAACTGATTTATTATTCACAGTTCAAATTTTTTCTGTTCATTGCTCCCTAAACCCAAAAGTTTCTTTGTTTTCTAAAAACAACGAGCAGAATATTAAAATTCATATCGCAAACATAATAAATGTATCGATTCTCATTGGTCACTTTGGCAAATAAAAGAGAATTCATCATAACAGTTATGACTCCACATTAGCACGTTGTTGAAGGCTGCACAGATATAAACGTTGGTCCTCGGATGAAATTTATGCCATTTAGTGTATGGTGGAGGTTTCCCGGTGCGAGTGGAAATTTGCGTCTTTGTATTGGCCAGTGAGGTGATGTCGAACCAATATGGACGGGTAGAATCGATTAACTTGAATTCCTTCTCGTCGTTGATTGTAGCCAGGTATCCACCCATTTGACGACATCTGTGAAACGCATCAAACCAATTTACTGAAAGATTCTTTTCCAAGTAGAAGTATCTCGAGCCAATCTTTTCAAACAGTTTTGATCGCGTCTGTGAAACTTTTTGCGAAGGTTTTGGCTCAACTACTGCCTTTTGAGTCAACGCAATTTCCCGTAGCTCCTGAAGTAGGATTTCCGTTTTCTTCTGTAGCGCCTGAAGTTGGCCTTCCATCTCGTCCTTCATTTTGTTTATTTTCGGTTTTATGACTCCCTTTTGAGACTCCATAACGTCCTTTAGCGTCTGTTGTTGGAGTTCCGTATTCACCTGTAGCGCCTGTAGTTGACCTTCCAACTCTGCCTTCAGTTTGTCTATTTTCGCATGAGTTTCTGCCTGATTTTCCGCTGTGTATCCGAACCACTTTTGCTGATTCGTGGCAATCTCATGAACTGAGCATTTCTCCTGGTTTTTGGCCTGGCTTCCCCACAGTCCGCAAACGGTGAAGAGCCATAAAAAATAGCAGTACCTCCACATATTGAGTGTGTAAATCCTCTAAGACCCAATCTTCGTAACTAACTGCTTCTCGGTTTGTTAAAGCCCCTTTATATGTGATATGCCGCAACAAATTCAGTTTGCAAAAAAATAATGAAAATACGCATGACCGAAACTTTATCAACATATCTTAAATAATTGCCACTAAATTAAACACGCTGACACGGTTTGAGTTTTTCAGAAAACTATATTTCTTTTTTCTGGTGTTTGTCTTTTATAGGAAAATAGTTTTTAAGATTCTTTGGCCTATCGCTATCAAAGCGGGATATTTATTTTTGATCCCCGTATAGCAAATCTTGAGGCGATTTCAGAATTTTTTTTTGTCTGAAGTTAACTGTGTTCTTTGATTTTCATACATTTTTATATTAGTTCACGAAACTGTGGTCAAGATTTTAACTCTGGAAACTTTTGTTTGAAACTGATAAATAATGCATTTTAAGGCAGGCAGTCGCAAACAATAAAATCAATCCGGGTTTTTGTCGTTTGGCTGCATTTTGCCTGCAAGGAAACAAGTCACGTAAATTTTTTCTTTTCATTTTCTAAGTTTCTTGCAATCAATGTCATACGTCTTGAATTGGGAATACAGAATACAAGAATAGAAACCAAAGAATTTAAACTAAAAACCTCAAAGTTTTCATAGCCGTAATGGATGGCAAATTATAATAAAATATTACGACTGGCTTATATAGGTTAAAATTATTATTTACTCATCGCTTTTTAAGCTTGGTTGTTAAATGTGTTTTTATTTGTCCCACTTGTAAGCCTTTATAATAGTTTCGAAAAAGGCGAAAAATTAAAAAATGCCCCTACTGCGAAATTTCTACGGCTAACTAACCCTTTTTTTGATGTTTTTTGTAGTCATTCGTCACCCCCAACACAAAAAAATACACCCCATCTCCGTTGCAAATTTTTTTTTAATTTTGTAAGACTGTGTTATCAAAACAAAAAAAGGAAAGAACGAGCAGAATATTTATATTCATATCGTACAGATATATGTACCTATATGCACCTAGTCTCATATGTCACGTTGACAAATAAATCGGCGAGTATAAAAACATTCTTGAACTTCAATTTTTTTTTGTACAGTTGCACACAACTAAAATTTTTGATACCCGGTTCATTGACATCCCAATTCAAGTACTGTGGACGCTCTCCGGTGCGAGTGGAAAGAAACGTGCGGTGTTTGGCCAATGAGTGGATATCCAACCACATTGGGTCTACAACGCCTTCAAGCCGGTTGGCGACCTGCTCTAGTTCCTTCTCATTGATGAATGTTGCCAAGTAACCACCGATTTGACGACATGTGTTAAAGGCTTCAAACCAACTTTCTCTATGGTTCTTTTCAATGTAGAAGTACCTTGAGCCTATCTTTTCGAAAAACGAGTATGGAGGTTTCAGTTCAGTTTGTGGTTTTTCACACTTCACAGTGTCGAGAAGCGTCTTATATTGGGATTCTATTTTCTTGTGCAGCGCTTTCAGTTGGCCTTCGATATCTTCCTTCGTTCTGTCAATTTTATGTTGTTGGATATCTATTTTCACTTGTAGCGCCTGTAGTTGACCTTTCATCTCTTTTTTCAGTTCGTCTATTTTTGCATGCGTTGTAACCTGATTTGCCGCTATGTTTATGAACCACTGTTGCTGGTGCGTGGAAATCTGTTCAAGTAAGCACGACTCCTCTTGTTGAGCTTGGGTTCCCCACAGTCCGCAAACGGTGAAGAGCCATACAAAATAGGAGTACCTCCGCATATTGAGTGTGTAAATCCTGTAAGACTTAATCTTCGTAACTAACTGCATTCCGGTTGGTTACAGCTCTTAAATATGTGATAAGCCATAACGGATTCAGTTTGCAAAGGAGTAATGAAAATAGGCATGACGGAAACCTTATTAACATGTGTAAATGCCACCAAATGAAGGTCGAGTTTTTGAGGAAACTGAATTTATTTTGTGCTGAAGAGTTTTCTTTGGGAGTGCGGAGTGCACAGCAACCTTTGTGGACAAGTCTTTAAGTGATTACAATATTTTAGAAACAAATGATGCACTCAAAACTCACTTGTTTTTTTTATAGAGAATATTTTATTGCTCAAGCCTGAGGCACACGCGCATGGAGCTCCTTCAATAATTCAAGTGAAATTGAATTTTCAGCAGACAATTAGACAACATTTCTAAAGTTTTTATATTCTAATTATCAATTTAATGGATTTTTCATAAAAAATGCGAACTTATAGTAAATACTGGCATGTATATGTATGTATTCTCTTCATCCTTACTTCTGCAAATTCACCCAAATTCATTCCGCTCCCTGCTTTCGGGGCTTACTTGGCGTATGCGTTATTTCTGTCGGGCTCTTCTGCTGCCACCACTCCCGACTTGAATTGACAAAGTGATACGATGAGTTGCGTCGTTCGTCAAAAGATGTATTTGGGTCTCCTAAATTTAAAAAATGTTGAGGTTGTCTTATAGTGTTTCTTAGATGATTAATGGAACCAACACATTTTCTCGACACATTTGTCTTTAGAATTAAAGTCAAAGAGTTTTCATTTACTATGTGACTTGCAATCAATTTCATATACATATCTTGAATTGGGAATACAGAGTGCAAGAATAGAAACGAAGTAATTTAAACTAAAAACTTTAACTTTTTTATAACCATAATGGATGACAAATTAAAATAAAATATTAAGAAGCCAGTCGTTATTTGTTATAATTATTATTTACTCATTGCTTTTTAAGCTTGGTTGTTAAATGTGTTTTTATTCATCGCCTGGTAATTCAATTTTAAATACACATTCTTTGTCCACTTGTAAGCCTTTATAATAGTTTACGAACAAAAGGTTTGCAATCGATTAGTAATTTAACTCTTGCAAGAGTATTCGGCGGTTTAAAGAATGAAAATAATCTTAAAGTTGTAGGTTTTTTTTTCGATATCAGGAGAAGGATATCCCCCTTCTTTGCAGAATTTTCTTTCCTCCTTGCTGCTCTTGGTTGGCACTTGGCTCGGGTTGTTTCCGCCCTGGACAATTGGACAAATGGACAATGGCTGGACCGACCTTGTCCGCAGTATGTCTCCCGCGTCATCGAAGGAGTCCGCCACTTGGCCATTGATTTTCGCCATCATCGCCAGTTTCGTTGGCCCCTTCCGACTCTAATTTACAAGTAAAACGCAACTCGATTTATGGGTCTGTGTGTGTTGCCATTTGCTGCGCTCTTCATTTGCACATTATTTCGCTGCAGCGAAAGGGAAACGTTTTGTTTGACCCAAAACTTTCTCTATTTAGTTTTTCCGTAGTTTTGTTTCCAGCAAAACTTTTCCCTTCGCCTTCCCATTTTGGAATGAATTTGCTACTGGTGCTGATTTTTTTTTTCGATACCGATGTGGGCAGCATTGTTTTGGATTTTTTCCCTTTTCTGCAGGCACTAACTGACTCTCGGAATCTAATTTGGACTCCAACTCGAAGTCAGCGTTATCCACGTCCATGTTCATTGCTTCATTTTAGTCTGGTTATACCCATTACTCGAAGAGCAAAACGATATCCTGTAAACCAAATGATTTTCAAAAAATAAATAACGAGCAGAACATTTAAATTGATATCGCACAAATTAATGTATCTAGTCTCATAAGTCACTTTGGCAAATAATTAGGTGTTCCTCAAAACAACTGTCAATTTGCATTTTCCCGAGGTAGATTTCTCCACAATTTTTGTAACGCGGTTCCCCGTCATGCCAGCTAAAGTATGGTGGCACACCCCGGTGTGAGTGGAAAGAATCGTGCCGTTTTTGGCCAATGAGTGGATATCCAACCAAAATGAACCCCCTTCATCAATCCGGTTTCCGACATTCCGTCGTTCCATGTCATCGTTGATTGTAGCCAGATAACCACCGACTTAACGACATTTGTTAAAGGCAGTAAGCCAATTAACTCGATCTTGCTTTTCAATGTAGAAGTACCTCAAGCCCATCTTTTCAAAAAGCGGGTGTAAAGGTTTCGGTTTAATTTCTGTTTTTTCAGACTTCACAATATCGTGAAGCGTCTGAAGTTGGAATTATATTTTCTTCGGGAGCGCTTTTAGTTGGCCTTCCTTCATTCTGTTTATATTCGATTGTTGGATTTCTGTATTAACCTGTAGTACCTGTAGTTGGCCCTCCATCTCTTCCTTCAGTCTGTCTATTTTTGCATGACTCTCAGCCTGATTTGCCGCTGTGTATCTGAACCACTGTTACTGGTGGTTGGCAATCTGATCAAGCAAAGTTTGCTCCTGGTTTTGAGCCTGGTTTCCCCACAGTCCGCAAACAGTGAAGAGCCATAAAAAGTAGAAGTACCTCAACATATTGAGTGTTTAAGACCTGTGGGACCCAATCTTCGTAACTAAATGCATTCCGGTTTGTTACAGCTCTTAAATACGGGATAAACCTCTACAAATTTTATTTGCAACGAAATATTGAAAACGTGCATGACTGAAACTTTATCAACATATTTATATCAACAGCAAAAATATTTCTAGATTCAAATGGCCGGCACCTAAAACTCCTATCTTTGCTCTACATAGTGTACCTTTTTTTATCTGTTTTTTTTTTTTTTTTTTTTTTTTAACAGCTCTTATTAAACAGATGGGCTGATGTGGCGTATAAGTGACGTTGCGTTTATTCAATTAAAAATGTATTTTCATGTAACGCAAACTTTTGATGCATTCAGGCCATTATTTCTTCTTGTTTATATAAGTTAAATTGAATTTTCAGCGGACAATAGGACAACATTCCTATAGCTTACAGTTTTTAAATTATTATTATCGATTTAAAGGAATTTTTATACAATTGTAAATGTGCGTCTTTACAAAGTATGATTATTTTATCTTGTGAATTCTGACTAGTCTATGTTATTCTATATAAGTTTAAAAGTCCTATTTTACCAGCCCAAACACTCAGATTTATTGATTGTTTGGTAATACCAAGAAAGCTATAAATCCCATATAACCAAATTCACTCCGCTTTCTGCCTTAGGAGATTACTTGGTTTTAGTTTTTGTCAGCAGAAATTATATCCTACTTTTAAAGGTGATAATAATATCTCGAGAATTGACAACTGAATTAGAAACTTTCAACCAAATGTGTACTCAAAGTAAAACTTTTTGAATACACAACAAAGTCAACCAGTTGTCAACCACCTTGCAACTTAAATTCCAATTAAACTTTAACTCGGATAGCACTTGCGTTGAAGAAATACTTGGGAAATTCCCTCCACTAAAATATCTAATTAAATTTGTCTTTGTCAAAGGGAAATAGTTTCGACAGTGGCGCACTTTTGCGCAACTGGGATTTGCCTTAAGTATTTGCATACACATAAATTGTAACTTATATATTATATATGCATGAAAATTTTAGCTTAAGGGCGCACAGCGCATTACTGCGCAGATATTAACCCAATCTTGGTTTGCATATTACTCGACTAAAGTCCTTGGAATCCATTTTGTTTCCTTTTTATTTTCAGTCAAAGGACAAACGAGACGCCGAGGGCCAAATGTTAAAAAAGACGATGGAGGGAAGAGATAGGCGAAGCTGAAACCATAAACCCAAAGCCAAAGCCGAAATCCAAATGCAAGTGCAAAACAAACTCAGCTGCGAGTGCTGAAGAACCACAAAATATAAATAAAAAAAAAATAAGGAGGAAGTGCAACCTGCGCCCAAGCCTAATTAAAAAGTATTTCACAGCGGCTGCAGATTGCTCATACGCCGTGTGGACCGCGAGTGCCTGAGTGTTCGTATATGTGAGCTTCTCGTGAAATAATAAGGTTGCAACTTGTGAAAGCAAGTAGAGGGATATCGAAATCTTTGTTCAACCTGCTGGCGGGCCGTCCCAGAATTAGTTTGGCATGCGGCTGCTGTTGCCACAACTGTTGCATGCAACATGGATGGCGAAAATCGGATTATACTCAATGTGGGCGGAATAAGGTGAGTTATAAAGTCAATATGGCAATCTAACCATGTAATTAAAATTGTAAATGTATATTAAAAATTAAGCCAATTTTTTATTGCAGAGGATTTTATTAACTTTCAACTAAAATGTAATATATAAAATCAGATCAAATTGATAAAATATAAAAGAATCTACTGAAAGTATTGGTCGATAAATTTCGTAGATATCTTGCTGGCAGTTGGCTTTAAGTTTTCGTGCTTCTGCCGCAATAGTTGGGGTTATTGTTTGTGTTTGTCCTAGGCATTGCCAAATCACGTAGCACTTCCTGTTGATTTAATATATTTGCCATATTTGTGTAGCTGTAGACACACACTATCCAATTTTGCTCACATGGGCTATCGACATTGTATTTTTTTTTGTTGGACAGGATATTGGGCCAGGATAGCTCCGTGTATTTCCGTCATTATTTGGGCATTGTTGTGATTACGCCTGGCAAAACAATGGAAGCGATACGGGGCCCTTTATCCTTGCCAACAATATGAAAAGGAAAACATAAGGAAAACAAAATAGAACTAGTGAAATTGTTCACAGTTTGTGTTACAGCCGGAAATGTTGGCTCTTGCCTGTGAGTGTGGTTCATTTTCCGTCAGAGTTTCTGTATTTGTACTTTCATGTAAATAACTGTGTGCTGGCTTTGAGTTGTAAGCTCTATTATCAGCATCGTCATTGGGCCATAATCATCATCAACATCATCGTGTTTATCATCATTCTCGTGTGTGGCTGTGCTTTTTTTTTTTTTTTTGATATACGAAATCCCCTTCGACTTGGGGCCCTTGTCTGCTCGAGCGCACTTTTCTGCCTGAGAGCATTTATCCAGCTGCAGATTTTCGTGCCTAGTTAATAATTTATGATTCCGTTAATGGGCAATGTGAAAAGGGCGATTAAGAGAAAATTCCCATGATATTTTTCGGTTGCTGTTTTGGGGATTTTATTTCGAGTTATATGCAAAAAATAATGAAAAACATAAATCTTTCCGTTTTTGAGGTAACTTTAAATGCTTTTAATTGGATATAATATATAAAATATATTTAGTCAGTTTTTCTGACCACTGAGAACCGTACAAAGCCTGTTAATTTTATTGCTGGCAACATATTTTGCCCGCTCGGTTAACCGCACTTTGCAAAATTAACAACACAATTGTAATTGCATCATCATCGTATAAATTCTATCTTGCTTTGTTTTTTTTTTTCCACAAACCGCAGCAATGACCACAAAAAAGGGAAAATAAAATATCAACTGAAAGTAGAAAATTGTGGGAAATGCATTCTTGCGTTGGTGGGCCAGCCATTTTCAAATCCACCACGTCCATAAAGCAATGCCATTATTAATTCTTAACAAAAAATAAAATATTGTGGTACACAAAGAATCACTTGAATGTGGCGTCATTGGGCGGTTTGTGGGTGTAACACTACAAATAATTACTGCACTTATATAAGCATTTAATGTAAATTATAATAAAACAAAGTGAAAACCTAATGGAAAACGTATATTTAGTGATGGTATATTGAATATTTCTGTTATTGATTCAAGTTTCGCAAAAGTAATGTTTAAAATGAAAACCATAACAATTGAAAGTATCTAGATTTGCTGAAGGTCTTTTCAGCAAATATCTTATTGTAATTAGTAGTTAAAGTAATTTGAAATATATATGTTTTTGAATAAAATTTTTTGTCAGTGAGTAGCTGCTACAAAAACCGCTCGTTACTTTTGCACTAATACATATAGTTATACATACATATATATATATATAAATAAATCTCCTACGGACATTTGCCATCTAAATGGATGAAAGCTTCGGTTTCAGTTTCGCTTAAAGGTCTGTGGACTGCAATGGGGGCGAAATGGATCCAGAACGGGGAAGTTGGGGCGTTGTAATATGTCACACTACTCGAATGCTTGTTTAAGACCCGCCTGTGTGTGGGTGTGGGTGTATGAGTGTGTGTGTGCGTCGGTATCCTTCTAGACTACACACTTTTGTAGCATACTTATGCGGGCCATTGCTGGCTGACTGGCATCACGCTGTCAGCTCGCCGACGTTTTTAGCACAAATAATACATAAACAGACACACAAGCCTTGTTCGCATGAGCATTAAATAGAATACATTGCAGTGCGAGTACATTTCGCTGTAAGTTGTTTGCTATTTAACTAAGTTTCCCATCCAATCCGAAAGTCGTCGCCTTTAAGGTGACGCCAAGAAAATGCGCTTAAAATACTTGTGGCCCAAACAGACGGAAAAGCAGGTTAAGTTCTGTTAGCTTGTGCAAAACATGTGCAAATCCGTTCATTGTTCTGAACATTTTCAGGGAGAATGACACATGATTCGTATTATATACTAGTAGTCCTTAGTCTATATTCAATGCAATGTGTGCACAAATTACATTTGCAAACATATTTCAAATTGAATCCAATTAGTGATGGAATTCAAGTAGAGCGTTTAGCCTTACCAATTTTACACATCAATTGACTAGTTGATTACGGTTCAAAATCACAAACAAAATGCTTCTTATGTTGCGCATTTCGATTATGGCAAATCACAAGTTAATAAATGCATTTATTGTGCAAATAAAATGTAATTGAAATAATCATTTGAGTGCCTCAAATTAAAAAAAAAAAAAAAAAAAACAATAATTCCGTTTGTAATACCAGCAAATACAAAAATTAAATTTAAATTTAATTAGAATAAACATGCAACACATTTCCATTTTTGATTACAGCTTTCATAATTTTATAATGGAATGATGTGTAAAATAAAATAATGCTTAAAATTAATCAGCATATTATTATTTAAAGGGTTTGCATTTATTTAATTTTGAAACTAAATAAGCTTACATACAGATTGCTTCTTCTTTTTTATAATGACCAAGATGAAAAGCTTTATTGAGCACTTTTACAATATAAATTATATGCATTTCGTCAAGTTTTCTTGAATGAGTTACTTAATCAGCAGCATATTGATATTTAAAGTGTTTGCATTAATTTAATTTCGAAACTAAATAAGCTTACATACTTGCAATCCACATACACTTTTTTATCATGACCAAGATGAAAAGCTTTTTACTCAGCACTGTAATAATATAAATTATATATATTTCGTCAAGTTCCCTTTGGTATTGGGATGCGTGATGATTATCATTGTGATTACGCGGCGTTTTTCGCCATAAAAAAAGAGCAGGGAGCTGAGATGAGCAAATATTGTATGGGCAATGGCTTGGGAATTGGTCGGTTTAAGGACGGGCGACTTTCAGATCCTGCTGCTCATCAACGCAGACAATTGCGCACTGATTGTATCTTTGATTCACGCACACACTCCCAGGCACACACACACACACAACCTACACACATTGGCAATAAAGCTGCCACTGTGGTTGCCTTTCAACACAAATACATTATACTTAGTGCCGCTGGTTGTTTGTTTGTGATGCTGCGTATTTCCGCTGCCATTTTCTCCTCGCCATTGTTGGGACTTTCCCCTCCTTTCTCCGCTTTCTCTGCTCTCTCTGCCCGCGGTGCCCTCTTCAATCTCACGCCATTGTGTGCGAATTAAACGAAATGGCTAATGAAAAGTTTAACAGTCAATAAATAAGGCGAGCTGCGACATCAACAATCACGAGCTCTGCTCTTCTCGTCATAATAGGAGATGAATGCTGATTCCCTTCTATTCAATTGTATCTTTAAATCTTTAATTTGATTATACCGTTCATTAAAGCTGTTTGGCTATGGACTTTTGTTACAATAATATAATTAAATCTATATGCACTTAAGACCAACATAATATGTAAGAATACATTTATTTTGCTAGCTTTTTTTTTTGTATTATTTAAGTAATTATAAAAAAATAAAAAGTTGATTATTAAGTAATAAAAAAAACTTAATTTTATCTGCAAGCTAAATCATTTTTTTACTCCATTGTGTTTGAAAGCATAAATGCAGATAAAGGTCACGCTATATTTATGAGCAATTATTTCATATAATTGGCAAATAAACTCAGACATTTTCTTGTCTGAACTGCCTTTAATTGCCATTGAATTCTACGCCATCCATTATTCTTCTTTTGCAAAGCGGAACAAATAAATGGGAGGACGCCGTGGAGAATGACAAATTACTGACAAGCATTCTGCGGCATTTGCTGCAGCACAAGAAAAAAGAAAGCCAACACCCAAAGAAGAATGAAAAAAAGTTCGAAAAGAATAAGTGAAAGCAGAAGTAAATGCAAATGCTCGTGCCGGTTTCGCTGCTCAAGTAGCCGCTTAGAGGCAAGTGCCAAAGACAATGCCCCAAAGCAAGTCCTCCCGCCTCACACACACACTCGCACCTACACTCACACAGAAAGACAAAGGACCCGCCAGCGAGGAAAGCGGGAAAAGCTGACAAAACCACAGCCAACAAGGAGAACAACAATTTAAAACCAACAGCTACGCGTTTTCTGACAGAAGGAGAATGAAGAAAACAAAAAAATGTTGAAGTAGCGACTTGAAATGCTTCTGTGTTCTGTGTTTTGTTTTTGTTTAAATAGCCAAGTTAAGGGACGTGGCTGGGCGGAAATAGCAAAGTAATAAATAAATTTCCTGCTCTTTTGCTGTTTTATGTTTGGACCGCTTTATTGCGGCTTCGTCTGCAGCGCCTAACGCTTCATTAACTTTTTGGCTTTTAATATACTTCGGCCAGACCCGAATTTCCGCCTTCCGCCCAATCATCTCCCACCCCCTTTAACCCCTATCCTGTCCCCCCTCCGAACTGTTGTTGTCACTCAGTCAGGCGTTCATCGAGGTCTCTTCTGTCTGCCGGGGCCACAAAATTGGAAAACATTTTTGGTTTTTTTTGTTTTTTTTTGTTGTTCCTTTTTTTTTAGAAACTTCAGCAGAAAAAAAGGGCCGTAAAATAAATAAACACTGAAAATGAAACGAAAACGAATACCGGCTATGGGCTGAAAAAATAAAAGCCGCGAAAAAAAATTGGCCCCTCTTTAACCCTTTT